ATCATAGCGCAAAGGATTCATAGCAATATAGCGCATTGCAAATAGCGTCGTGCATTGCAGATAGCGTCGCGCATGACTATTTGGTAAAATAACGCATATTATATAATAGCAATATATATCAATAATGTATAAGAAAAATAATCTCAATAAATATTAAAAAACTTGACAAGTACTCAAAATACAAATCCTCCAATCATCTCAATATGTCAAACATGAAGTAGCACATCAACCATAGTCTAAAACATAAAGTGGCACATCAAAACAAAGTTTACAATTACATGTAACTTTGTTTACCTGCTTGGGATCAACTTTCTTGAATAATTCCAAGTTGGATCACTACTACTCTTACTAGTGCGCATTTTAGATTGTACTTCAATGCTAAAAAACAGAGAAGATTCTGATTACCAAACAAAAACTGGAGTTAAATTACTTGTGCTAAAGTACGTTAAATACTCTTACTAACAAAGCTGAAGTGAGACACTTGTAAGCCCAAAAATAAATAAATAAATAAAATAAAATAAAACACCTGGGGCTTGCTTAGTGGGGCTTGCGACATAGCAGAGGAGACGAGAGCCCCGGAGCTCTCGCGTAGAGCTCGTGCCAACAGTCTCGATCGCGACCAAAGAGAGGACAATCTCTTGGGCAGCCGACACACTCTTGAGCATGACAGATAGCAGAGAAAGGAAGCCTTAGAGCCAAGATCACGACAGAGAGGAGGGATTCTAGGGCTCGAAGGGGTCTTGCAAGGCTCGACAGCTAGGGAAGAGCACAATTGTGAGGCTCACCAAAGAGGGGAGAGCTCAACGCGAGGGTCAACAAGGTGGTTTGATGCTCAACGAGGGCTCGGCACAACTTCCAAGGCTTGACTGCGAGGGTGAATAGAGAAGAAGAGAGGGATTAATCAACAGGCTATGGCCGGACTCGAGTCTCATACAAGGATTTAGGGTTTTTTTTTGGGCCTAAAATCTCCCTTCACATTGTGGCACATGTAGCGCACACTACACCTTGCTAATTGGATGTCACTACGCTATGCTTTTCTTGTAGTGCAACATCCTATAGTGAGTGCTATAGAGTGCTATTAACAATTGTGAGCTTGACTATACAATAGCGCTTGCTATTATAGAGTAATATTTTTAAGGAAAAACCTATAATATATATATATATATATATAAAGCAACAAAAAGGGCTCTCACTCAAACACTCCAGCTTGCAATACCTTCCTACCTCTATTCCTCATTCCCACCTCATAGCAATTGGCTCCTTGCAAGTTCACAACCCAGTGAAGAACTTTGGCTCACGCAAGGCTTCTAGAACTAACTTCTCTCCCAATGAAGAACTCACAACCCAATGAAGATATTCAGCCTCGACTCCTTTCCCACATAAGATTTCTTTCTTCATAATCTCTCTACTCTTCTCTTCCTTTATTTTTTTTTTTGTTTTTTTGGTTGGCTTTTCTACAGCTAGGTTTCCCTTTTCTCTTCACACGTATTCTGCTCTTTTTTTTTTCTCCAGCTAAGTCTTCCTTTTATTCTTTTCTTCTTTTTTCCTACTCTTCTTTTTTCTTTCTTCTTTTCTCCAGCTAGGTTTTTATCTTCTTCTCACGTGACTGATATCAAATTGTATTGTTTTTACTTTATGAAGCTGCCATTTTCTTTCTCTTCCTCTGCTTTCCCTTTTTTCCCCTTTGCTTTTACTGAATATTTGCTGATAGTTTTTGATAAATAGTGTTATTCACATCAAATTGCATAAAACACTATAAGATGCAGACTGCCTATTAACTTATGAACTAAACATCTGAGGAAATAAACTTATGTTAGATATTTATAGCAAGCCAATTTATTTCTAATATACATGCATTCTGTTGTGGGGTCTGATTGTGCTCAAATTTGTAGCAACACTTGTAATCTTTGGAAATTTTTGATGTTTGCAGTAAGAATGGCAAGGTCTGAGGCACCGTCCAGGAGGGGCAAGAAGGATGTTGGATAAAATCATGGAACTTCGGTCAATTCAAATAAGCTCACTGATGATATTAAATGCAAATATTTCTCAAAATTACCAAGGGAGGCATTTCTAGACTTAAAAGATCTTCCTATGGGGGGTTCAGAAAATGCAACAGTTTGTAAACATGTCAGTGAATGCGTCAAAATTGAGCTGAAAGAACTTATGGAAGCCCAAAAACAAAAATAAAGAAAATCTGCCATGGAATCAGTGCCTCATTTTTATAATATTATTGACGCTGGACAAGAATATGAAAGCTTAAAGAGTCGCCTACACCTGCCTATTTTGATAATATTATTGACGCTGGACAAGAACATGAAGAGCTTAAAGAGTCGCCTACACCTGCCTATTTTGATAATATTATTGACGCTGGACAAGAACATGAAGAGCTTAAAGAGTTGCCTACACCTGCCTATTTTCAATCAACAGCCCAACAATTAAAAACAAAATCACAACAAATGGGCCCTATCAATTGGGACTTCAATAAGCATAATGAAGCAAACAAAATGAAACTGCAAGGTGGTACAAAAGCAACACAATATGTTAACAGTCAAGAGATTGAGAGATGAGGCAATTTAAAAGTTTGCAAGGTGGATATATGATGTGGGGACAACCTGTTCAATGCTGTTAAATATGACAACTTTGGGCCTATGATTCAAGCAATTGGGCAATATGGTGCTGGGATGAAACCTCCAACTTATCATGAAGTGAGGGTAAGTTGTTTAAAGGAGGAGGTGGAAAACACAAAGGAGCTTTTGAAAGGGTATAAGGAAGAGAAGGCAATTTCTGGTTGTACTTTAATGGCAAACAGTTGGAAAGATAGAGAAGGGAGGTCTTTAATTAGTTTTCTAGTCAATACTCCAAGAATAAGCATGTTCTTGGAGTCCACTAATACATCTAGATATTCTCACACGGCTAAGAAGATGTTTGAGTTACTTGATAGGTTAGTACAGCGTGTTGGAAAGAAAATGCTGTTCAAGTTATTACTGATAGTGCAAGTGTGAATGTTACAAGTGGAAAGATGTAGATGGAGAAATATCAATACTTGTATTGGTCCCCCTGTATTGCACATCGTTTGGATTTAATGTTTAAAGACGTTCAAAATGGCCGATTTGAAGAGGACACTTGAAAGGGCAATCACTATCAGTGGTTATATTTATAATAGAACTCAAGTGTTGAACATAATGAGGGAATTTACTAGACAAAAAGAATGATTAGGCCAGCCAAATCTCACTTTGCTACTGCTTTATTGGCATTGAGGAACTTTCATAGGCACAAGTTGAACTTGAGAAAAATGTTCACTTCCAAGGAGTGGTGCAAAAGCAAGTTTGAAAAGGAGCAAGAAAGTAACCAAGTGCAGCAAATTAGATTCATGCCTTCTTTTTGGAACACTATTGTTTATTATATGAAGTTTGGTGGCCCCTTGATTGAGGTTCTTCATTTGGTAGATGATGAGAACAACCCTCCAATGGGTTATATATATGAGGCAATGGATGAGGCCAAAAAGAAAATTGAAACTGTATTTGAGAAAAATGAGGCAAAGTATAGAGAAATATTTTGATACAAGGTGTAATTGTCAGCTCCATCAGCCCTTATATGCAGCCGGTTATTACTTGAACCCCCAATTTTCTATGAAAATCCAAATAAAGAAGAAGATGTAGAAAGTCATGACTGGTTTGTAGCATTGCAATGAAAGATTGATGCCACAAGCTAAGGTACAAGATGCAATTGGCTAGGAGTTAATAATTTACAAGCGGGCTAAAGGGAATTTCAAATCCAATATAGAAAAAGGCAAAGTTAATAATTTACAAGAGAGTTAAAGGGAACTTCAAATCCAATACAGCAAAAAGGCAAAGGACATTATTAGTACTAGCTGAATGGTGGGCTTTATTTGGATCTTCAACTCCAAATTTACAAAAGTTTGCCATAAAAGTTCTCAGCCTTACTTATAGCTCTTCTAGTTGTGAGAGAATTTGGAAAGTGTTTGAACATGTGACTAATTATATAAGTTACAAACTGATATTCAAACCAACTTATTAGTTGAGAATTATACTGACTTGTTAATTTTGCAACTTCTTCCAAGAAAAGAAATAGTTGGAGCAAAAGTGTTTGAATGAATTGGTATTTATCAAGCTCAACAAAGCTTTCTTGTGAAGCTATGACAATTGTGATCGTATTGATCCCATTGTATTGGAGAATCATACATTGGATGAGAGCAATGAATGGTGGGTGTGGAGAATGCAAGCAGAAGATCAGGATGAACTTGTGTTTGACAATAACAATTTGACTTGGGCTAATGTTGTAGATGCTATGGGAGTTGACGAAGATCCCCACACTTTTAAATCTTGAAGTTCTCATTCTACAGTTACTTCAACTTCATCAAGGGGAAAAAGAGGTAGGCCATCAACTTCCATGGCAAGACCTACAAAGAGAATAACGAGTTCAACTACACCAGCATTTCCGCCATCAACTTCCATGGCAAGACCTACAAAGAGAACAACGAGTTCAACTACACCAGCATTTCCAAAATCTGATGAAAATGAGGAATTTGATACCAACCTAAATAATATAGAAGAGAAAGAAGAGAAGCACAATGAACTCTATAATTCTCCTCCTAACGACAAGAACGATAACATCAACCTTGATGATGAAGATTTGAATGATGAGGAATAGAGTTGGAGAGTCTTTTGGAGTCTGGAATCTGGTTTGCTTACTTTTAGACTTAATTTTTTTTTCCAATTATGTGCTTGGTTTCCTTGATATTTAAGTATGAATTTGCTTGATATATATTTACATGTTGGCTTGTTGCACATATTCAGTCATCATCCTTGCTATGTTGAATATTTAGTCATCATCCTTGTTATGTTAAATATTTAGTTGTTTATTTTCCTTTATAATATTAAAAATATTTACATATGTATTTATTGTGTGCTTTATTTCAATAAAGCGTGCTATGTATTGGTACTTTTGGTATGTATTAGAAATATATACATATGTGGGTTTTATTTCAACAAAGCGTGTGCCATGCACTGCGCTATGCTATAACTCCAAGACGTCTTTGCGCCTCGCCCCATGTCACACTTCTCACAACTATGAAGCCATATATTTGTGTTCAAGTTTTCCAGTTATATAAGATGGCATGTATACATTTTATTGCAGTTGATCATGATAACTTATCAAAGCGAAAACTCAAGCATAAAAAGACCATCAAAGTAATCAAATCAGGGTATAGAAGAAAATAATTATATACATCATCTGAGAGAATCACAGCCAATTAACAAAACCTTGAATATAAAACAGATCAACAATCATAGAAGAACAACAAAATACAGGATTCAAGCCTGAAAACCAAGACACATGACCATTCACACTTATTTTGTATACTCCATAAGCTTGTGATCACACAAATTAGAACTGTCTCATCTTCTAGACAAGCTGCTAGGTCCCCCACGCACTATCAGTACAACAAAGTTAAAGCAAGAGTGGTCTTCTTAGGAATAGCTCCAAATAATACCCAAAACTTTTTAAAGAGAGAATGGGGAAGAAAATATTGAACAAGGGCCGTTTTTTTATGTATATAATCCATATCAACAAATTCAATCATGAAACTATCCTTTATTCTTATCCAAATAGATAAAAGAAATAAAGGAAAAAAAAAAATGAAACTATCTCCTATGTTTCAATCTTACCATGAGTATCAACACCACACCAAGAGGACAAGGTTGATCCACACATACAAGCAATGAAAGCCACATGGATTCACCATAAGAGGAAAGGTTTATCCACACGTACAAGCAATGAAAGCCACATGGATTCACCATTGTGATATAAAATTAGGAGGCAATTTAGTCCATATCAAGTGTGCGTATAATACTCATGAGATATAAATGCTCAAGCATCTGTCAAGACTCAAGATAATGATTTCAACTACTAGAATCCATCAAACAAGCATAAATATAATAAAGATATATAACTTTAAAAAAAATCCCAAATACAAACTTATGAACCAGAGCAAGGCATGAGCTAACCTTTTCCACGAGGCCTTTTAGGATAGAAGGGGGATAAAAGATAGGATTGTAAATGGCAGCAGCCCTGTTTCCAAGGGATAAAGAGGGGAAGGGGACAAAAAAAATTATGCAAAAAATTGAAAAACAAAATTAGTGAGCTCCACCTTATTCTAAATCACCTCATCCAATCCCACCTTTTCCTGTTGCCTGACCTATCCCCACCAACCACCCCCTGTTCCCACTTTGTCCTATCCCATGACCTGCTAATATTTATCACAGCAGAACTTGCTTTCTTCCCCTCCCTCCAATCCCCCATAGTCTTTCCAAGTTAGCAAACATGGTACTGAACAACTATCTTGACACTGTTCCGGGCATACAAGTGAGAAATTTTATGCTCAACCCATCAATCTCATGTGCCTGAAAACAATAAAGCAGCTGAAAATAGCAATATGACAAAACAGTCAAATTAGGGCGAATCATATCCAAGAAAATTAAAAAATAAATCCTTCATATGAGGCCACATACTAAAATCCAATCCATTTTATTAGGATTTTTGGTAGTTATTTTTCTTACTTTTATCAATGAATACACATACACATAAATAACAAAGCTGGAAGCTGAATGGAGGTCTGGATGGCCTCCTAATCTATTGGAAATGGAAACTTGGTTATAACTTAATATATATGGCAGGTACTGGGAATTGTTAAGGCCACTAAGTTTAATACTTATTCCGCACAATGGGCCCACACCTACGAGAAAAAGGAATGCGTTCATGTTGAATAAATGTATTTTGTACATAGATTTAACAATATCCTGGTCCATTCTGGTAACTAGCAACTGCACCCCAAAAAGAGAAAACAAAAATAGAAGAAGAAAACAATAATATAACCCTTCCTCATATTTAAAATAAAGAAACACTATGAACTCTTGATCAAATGCCAAATAAATGTTATTAGACATTGAAAAGGAAAAACACAAACCAAAGGAACCCCATCCACAATCCCAAGGAAAAAAGACACAGAATTTTTTTATTCATATTTGTTTGTTGAAGGAGCGAGAAGGAAGAGAACAATAAAGGATTGCACTTTCATGCATACGTGTTTCATATAATGCAAAAAGATATTTCACTTTATCAGTAGACTAATGCTATAAAATAATAAAGACTACATTTGTCAACGAAAATTCATGCAGAGAAGTGCATATGACACAAGGTCCTTTTTTCGCTACTCTTCCTTCTGGGTGTGAATTAGTACAATATCCTTCAGTCACAATGATTAACAGAATGGGTAACTACATAAACTATGACATCAAAATTTCAAGCCTGAGATATAGTAGGCTTCCTTTTGAGTTCTGCATCCACAACTATTATACTCTTTAATGATGAATTTAAAGGAGAAAAGAGAAGCAAAAACAACATCAAGTTGTATGCAGACTTCCCAGATTTTGATGGAATTGCCATCAACACCAGTTGGATAAGTGAAAAAGAATCTACAAGAAAGAGAAAAAAATGAATTGAATTCATTGCAAACTAACTAGGTCCTCACCAGATAAGGAGGATCTGCAACCACAATTTGATATGCAGTCTTCAATGATGATGGGAGTTCTTCTGGTTGATTATAATCATAGAATGTGAACTCACTTCCATATTGCCAAACACGTTTGTCATATTCAAAAAGTTGGACAGGTAAATTTGGAGCATTTTTCTGAAATTTAGATAAGAAACCAATATATGTAAGTCACCATACACCAATCATCAGATCCTAGTTACCACAAAGCAATAGATGAATGTAGAACAAACAACAAATGATAAACCCAATAGACATTTAAGAGATGAGGCAGATTAGTAACCTATGTGACAGTTCAGGTCTTCCTACAATTTATGCATACTTCTTTTTACCTATTTCAAAAACAATTCAGAATAAGGCTGCATACACATGACTCTGCCCAATATACACAATATCAGAAGCCCAGTGCTCTCTTTCTTTTTTCTTTCCCCTTCTCTTTTGAACTTCAGTTGTAAATGTATTGAACATTTTGAGCAAAAAGGAAACTTCTTATAATAAAAGGACTATAGCTTAATAAATAAAAGTTGTTTGGTTCATTCAATTACCATTTGATCCTACCCTTTATTCCATGGGCTGCCACACAGCACAATCACTATGTGCACTTTTCAGGCTAATTCAAACCCAAACAAGCTCAAAAACAACCATAGGCTCAATTATCTTACCACAGCCAAACTTAGATAACATAACATTCAACTCAAAACCTGATGGTGCTCAACAAGATACTATGTATCAAGTACATACTTTCATAATAAATGGATACGTTTTTGTGCATATAAATCATATATACTCTACTAAACTCAACTCAAGTAAACCATCCTCCTACTGCATAGAATAAATATTTCAATAATAACTCATGCCTCCAATCCACTCTATCAAACTTATAACTTCGATTAAACTACAACAAAATGAATAGATGAAACTTTTTCCACTATCTCAACCCCAGTTACTATATACCTTTAATATAATATTATGGATTAAAGATATAGTTTTACATATATGATATAATGTTTATGCTAAAAAATTAAGCTTAATGAGGATAAAACTTCAACATCTTTAAAAAAACCAACTCAAGCTTCATCATCCAAGAATGACTTCTAAGCTTACTTTTACTTCCCTTTTTTTCTTCTTGAACTATCAAATGTCTAACCAAATTCTCATCCCCATTGATTTGACAGCCCACAGAAAGTCTTTGAACTAAAATAGCTCCCAAAATGGAATCTTAGGTTTTCATACTTCAGTCCAGCAAATATGTGGAATTATGCATAATAATAACTCTATTGTGGCACACTCGTGCTGTTTGTAACCAGGTAAATAAAGAATGCAATAGATGACACACTGCCACATGAGACTTAAAGAGCACCTTCTTAGACCTCCATAACTAGTTTTAATGACCAATAACCTATGTTACATGCACTCAGATATAGGCGTCAAATATAGGCACAGCTATAGTTGTCGGACTTAGCACATCATAAATTTTAAGACATGGTGTCATGGATTTAGACCGTCCAAAAATGGAATACAAGTACAGAGACACATTTATTTCAAAAGTTATGTAGTAGTTTGGAAATATATGATATATTTTAAATTTTTTTAACAATAGTTTTAGGAATGGAAATTGCTGGTTTTCATGTATTTTTCATCCTTCAAAACTAAGTACTGCTCCTTTTGTACCTTGGTTTTCACTAAATTTCCATTCCAGGCATTTATTTTGACTCTAAAAATCCTAAATCATCTCAGTTCTAAAGTTCCATTACTAAGTTTTAATCCAGCCTTTAACCATAATCTTCTTTCATCCAGTAAGACAATATCATCTGCAAATAATATACACCAAGAAATTTGATCATATACATCTTTAATCACTTTCATCCATAACTAGTGCAAAAAGACGAGGAACCAATAGAAAAATTGGCGTAAATCTACCACAAATAAAAAATTACTAATTTATCCACAACAGTTTGTCTTAAAGTCGTAACTCATTATACGTTTCCATTATTAATTGAAATGTGTTTCATTATAATTTAACCCGAGTTCTAAGTTTGAAGAGAGCGGTCTGTAAACGTGCGTTCTATCTAGCTGATCCATGTTAAGGAAAGGCTTTGTAAGCTGAGTTAGTGCAGGAATGCAGAATATCATAGAAATATTTCACTTGGAAATAATATTCACTTTCCAGCCAGTAGTTCTTAACAATGTCCTTAAATGGGCTATCATTCTGCTAATTAATCACTCTACCGACTCATTAGACTGTAATACTTAATTACGTATCGTTAAAAATTTCCACGAATCGAATAAATTTACTATTGTAGGAGCAGGACAGAAGCGTTAGAGCGTATGCATAAAGATATATACTTTGAGGTAGGCGTATAGAGTGGGACAAGCCAGGCAAGCAACAGAAGGACAACAGATAGAGTCGCAGAGGTAGAGAACTTCTTCGGAAACGGCTTCGGCCGTTTCACGGTCGTACCAGAACTGGCTCAGCCTCCAATCCTCCGCCAGAAGCACAACCTCTTTCTCCAACCCACCGGCGGCGGCGCCGCCGCCGCCGCCGTCTCCAGGAGCCAGGGCCCTGTTCTGCTCGGCGAGGAATTCTTTAAGAGCTTCAAGAGCTTGAGCGCTTAGCATAGGAGTATCATCTTCATCCTTTTCTTGTTCGACAAGTGTATGCGTTCGCTCATCTGTTACTTCCTCCATTTCGGCTTCACTGTCTGTGCAGCGGCCGTGAAACCGAACCAAATGACCTGTACGCTTGGGAAGGCTGAACCCGAGCTTCACTTTCCCATATTTGTGGTAAATTGCAGATGCGGTCACTCAACTTTGCCCCCGAATTTCGCTTTCCCATTTTTCTGGTAAATTGCAGATGCAGTCACTCAACTTTGCACTTATTTTCCTTTAGGTCACTTAAGTTCGATACTCTCCGATTGGATCATTGAACCTCCTCCAAGGTTACGGTCGGACCAGTCCCCGCCCTCCCCTTAGATCCAACTAACGGAGGAGACAAATGGCGTCCGACTGTGCTCGCTAGGATCATATATATGTTTGCCTTACGGATCACATTTTTCTGCCTTTCATAAAGGAAAACAATGGATTAGGAGGAACAAAAAAAAATCTAGGATTTTGCTTGTTCGGTCAAATTATAAAATAGCCACCCAAATCCCTTTGCATGTTGAAAGATTAAAGGTAAAACAACCTATTGTAGAGCCATGGTGAGGAAAAATGGTATAAACAAGAATAAATTATTGTGTGGAGGCTTCCTACTACTGTAAGCTTTAAATTATTCTGCGCTTTTACATGTTCTCTGTCTCTCTTTTGTATGGTTGGTGACTTTTATCCCAATTCATTGGCTTCAAGTTAACTCTAACCTTCCACACCTATAAGCTCAAAAATCCACAGCTGAAAAAGATTCTCTGCTTTTCGCCAAATTCCTAAATTTTGCAACTTCCAAAACTTAATTACTTGGGATTCCGAAATCTACTTTTCACCATATGCAGATCAATAGAAAGGTAGTAAAGAAGCAAAATTGGAAGTAGTGTTTTTAACTGAAAGAAGCTCTTCAAGAAGCTCAAAACCAATTACATTCAAACTTAGGATGGAAAAATGGAGGTACCAGTCGGTGAATCGAACTCCCACCACCCAGATATCTAAACCATACTCGTCCTTGGAACTCCCAATGACAGCCTGGGGCTTCATACACGCGTATCCTTCAGTTCAGTAAATAATAGTTTTCCGGCACTTACAACTGTAGCAGAGCTTGGCTAGAATTTTTGAGAGACCCAAAAATATATATATTTATATTCTAATTATTTTTTTATCACTTTCAATATGCATATCTAAGTGATAATAAAGACATGATATGTGAATTAGAAAATAATAGGAAAATATATAAATAGAAGAAAGCAAGTGAAAGAGGAAATTTAACATAAGTGAATATAAAAAGTAAAATAATAACAGATTTTGTGTCATAAGAATACAAATAAATATTGTTTATTTTTTAAAACAATTTTTAATATAAGTTACACATTTATATTTTGATCTTTGGAATTTTATTTTAATTTTACTTATGAATTTTTAATTTATTTATACAAGTCTCTAATAAAGTAAAATTAAAAAAAAATGAAGGGCTATTACACTTATTCTTAAGGCAAATATATATATATATATGTATATATATGTATGTATATGTTGGCAGAGCCATGCCGCGCTCGGCTTCGAAGAAATTCCGCCTTTGCTTGACAACTATGCACATTCCCACCAACATACTGTGTCATATTAATTATTCGATGCCCATCACACTCTAATCCAGAAAGTATAAGCAATTTCGAATAATGGACATATTACAAACACACAACAAACTCTGTTAAATGCCAAAACACCGTGTCCACGGACGTAGCAAATATTATTAAAAACTCTCCACCAACATAGGCCAGTCAACATAGGGCAGCGTACAGTCTGTGAACCAGTTGAAACCAGAATTAGATTGCTAGTTCCAATTTTGAAAAAAAAAAAATGAAGGGGGCCAGAACTTTGAAGGCCATCGGTCCAGTTTTGGTTCTAGTTTTATCACAGTTTGGATTCATAGTTCCAGTCCAGGTTGGTTTATGGTTCTATTTCCAACTCTATTTCATTCCCGATTCGTTCGTAATTTATTCCCAATTCATCCACAGTCCGATTAGGTTTCAATTTGATTTTGCTAGAAAAAATTTATATATTAACTTATAAATATTTTTAAACTATTAAATATTTTTAACTATTATAAATATATAATCTTATAAATATTTTTCATATACTAAATACAAAAATTAATAATAAAGGATTTGAACTTAAATATATATTAATTAAGCTGCCTATTTATTTTCTTGGGTTTTGAAGAATTAAAATCCACGTAATTTTTTACCTTAATTAGTATACTCCTTATTTTATATCTTAATTTTCACTATCTCTAACTCCAGTTATTCCTCTATTATTCTCTTGATTTAGCTCTACGATATATTCTTATTATCTATACATGACTCTCAGTCAATCATTAAGATATGATTGAATTTCAACATTGGTTGGAAGAATAATCAAATGGGTTTCATCTATTACTTAACCTCTCATACTAAAAATTTGTTCAACCGAAACTTTTGAGACAATTAACAAGAAGATATTCTTTACCATGTGTGAAAGGATTGAAAATTGACCCGGTTTTGGCTTACACAATTGAAATTTTTCAAAATGTTTTTCTAAACCTACATCTTACTCACTAAATTCAAAAGAAGTGGCAAGATAATTTTCAATTTCATTTAAAATTTTTGTACCTAAGCCTAATGAGGATCCTCTTGGCCTTTTTATTCTTTCTAAAATTATCATTAATCCTTTGTCTTTATCTTGTTTGACTGCTGGGTTAATAATGATTCTGCTTGTTGAATAAGACCAATATCTTTATATATTTGACAATATGTAATATACATTTTATTTAAAATATCATTTACATTTCTCACTATTTTTGGAACATCACAAGCATTTTTATAATATTATAATGAACATTTAATAAATTATGTAAATCATCAATTTTAAGACGAGGATCTAACACTGTAATAATCAGATTAAGTTTAAGATTTTTTTTTTAAAAAAAATAAGTTAACCATTTTTTTTCATTGTATTTATATATAGCTCTAAATAAATAAATATCATGACCGTAATCATACTCATATAAAATAGCAACAATATTAGTAGTATGAGTTAATAACAAATGACTAGTAAAATAATAAACACCAAATAACACTTGAATACTATTATAAAAAAATTTTAAAACATCTATCAATTTCTTGCAAGCATTTCATTATCCGAGATATAATGTCACTTGATTAATATGAGCAGTAATAAAATTATATAATAAAATTCTATAAAGATAAGATTTAACTTACAATGAGTTAGAGCATTTTTTGGAAAACTTTTGGATGGCATTCCATTTTTGTTCACAATTTTTTTTTTAATTTTTTAATGTATTTGGATAAAACCATAAAAAAGAAATTGTTGTTTTAATTGGATTAAAATCATCAACAAGTTTACTACTATTTGGCGCACACACGCAAATTTAAAATATGACAAAAATATCTAATATGGAAAAAACGTTCACAAAATATAGGTTTGCAAACTCTTTTTAAATTAGAAATAGAAGCAATGTTTGCACTTGCATTATAAAAGAAATATAATAAATTTTGGTAGTTAAATTATATTCATCAAGAATAAATACTTATTAATTTATAAATATTATCGACAATGTGTCTTCCATCAAAATCTCTAAAAGTAATTAATCTTTTTTGTAAGAATCAATCTTCATTGACTCAATGACATGTTATACCCATATAAGAATATTTACACCAAATATCACTCCTTATATCACTACAAAATGGCTACATGTTCATTAAAATTAAACAAATAATTTGTTAAATCTCATTTTCATTCATTATACAGTTTTGCGTATAGTGCATGTGAGAGTGATTCTTTTAACAAGTTTAAAACAGAGATTTAAAACATTTTGATAATAATTTTGTAAACCTACTTTTTGGCCAAAACTAAATGAAAGATATTCAACAACTACTAGTCTTGCAAGTTTATCTTTGTTGACTTTATCCGAGTGGTGGAAATAATTAGAATTGCTAGATCCACTACTAATAAGAATTTGTAATTGCCCCTTATCAAATTCTGTTTGAGAGGGATGCTTACTAATAAAATGTCTTTTTTAGTGTACCATAACTTCCTCATTTTTTCCACGCAAAAGAATTAGTACAGTAGTTACATTGCACCTTTTTTTATCCATCTACTACTATCTTTTTTAAGTAAGTTTCAAAAATTTCTAACCTTAATTCTCTACCCATTTTCATTGGAGAAACGGGATTGGCATTTTCTTACTCCATTTCCAAATCGACATTAACATTTTTATGTTAACTCTCTTCAATATCAATAAATATTCGGAGTTGTTCAAAATTTGTTGAAAAAAGAGTGAATATATTGATAGATGGTGTAGAAAAAGTTTGGATTGAAATTTTTTAAAAAAATTGTGTAACAATAGATATAGATTTCCAACGAAGCTCATTAACAAATTTTCTAGAAAGATTGGATATAGATCTTTTAGGAGGATTTTCTATAAATTTTCTAGAATTTGATGAACTTGACATTTTATTATAAAAAAAAAGAGTCCAAATTGAGAGTAATAGTATGAGATTACAAAAAATTGAGAAACCGTAGAGCAGATTGAGAAGCAGTGTGCAAGTATTCATTGCGATAGGCAAGCAGGGAATCCTTGCCAAGTATGGAGGATTGTGGCAATGATATAATATTATAATTAAATTTGTATTATTATTTATAATAATAATATAATTATATTTATATTAATATTATGATAATATGTTCTTAATCCAAACAATCTTATATTTACATTTCTTAAACAACTCAAAAGCAAGAACAATTAAATTACATCAAATAAATATTTGTCAGAAATTTAAAAATGAAAGGAAGAAATATATTAGTTTTTCATAATTAGAAAGTTTTAATTTTAACATTTATTTTTAATTTTTACAAGCTAATATCTTGAAGGAAAAAACAACAATGAAAGAAAAGAAATGATGTTTGTTGATTTTTCATGATTTTTGTTACTCTTAATTAGAAGTTATAGTTGATTAAGTAGTTTTTTGTTTTCAAAAAGTTTGAAA